GTTTGAATACAGGTTTGGCGGACATTTGGGTCATAGCCACTGTTTTTCTTCATTGGTTCTTGGTGAATCGATAAGTCCGGGGTGAGTGGGTGGGTGGTGGAACTTCCTTATCTCTCAGGGAGGAGAACTCACTTGCCGAACTTGACGTTGCCAACTCCACTGCTCGCGCATCATGCCGCCCGCCCGCCCGCGAGTTGGTTTGCAAAACCCATGCGGGGGCGATTGCGATGAGTGCTGGGCGTTGGCGGGTGCATCTCTGCGGCCGCGCTAGCCCGCGCATGCTTGCTCGCGCAGCGGCCAGCTAGTTTGGAACGGCCGACGCGACAGCGGTAGCGCTGACCGCTCGGCGCATCCCAGCGGGCGCTCCAGTGCGAGTCGTCGACCTGGGCGGGCGCTGTATCATGGCAACGTCGACGGCGGTAGACGCGATGATGATTGTAGCGGCGTTGGCGAAGATGTTGACAGCGACGACGGGGCGACCAGTGACGGCTCCGATGCTGATCGCGCCGGCGACGATGACGGCGCCCTCGCGTCGGCGACGAAGTTTCGAGAAGGAATTCGACATGCGCGCGCGGCAGACGCGCGAGAGTAGCTCGCATGGTTTCTGTTGACATGGGTCGTGCCACTTCAGCGCGCGCATAGGCGCTCGAACGATTTTGGCATGCGCGCGCGAAGCCCTATTGGTCGCATAGCATGGCAATGTGGAGAAGCTTTGGGCTTTCTTAAGAACTCGCAAGAGCGCGCGCGCGCGTTTTTGTTGAACATCCGAGTTGCGAAACAATGTTCTAATAAGGTTTGTGCGTCACTCGCTTTTGAAGGCCTTCCGGAACCGACGGTTCGGAAAAGGACTTCGGCGGGCGTGCGCGACGACGCGCGCGCGTGCGTTTCGTTTCATTTTTCAGGGGGTCTTGGACAACACAAACAAGGCTTGTGTTGCAGAAGATGGCGGGGGGGGGGGCGAGACCGGCCTGGCTGGGATAGTATGAATTTACAGGTCGGATGGACACTGGGTCTGAACAGTGCGCGTTTCGCATCGTTCCCCAGGGCATCGGCAAGTCCAGGAGGGGGTATTTCTTTTTGTCCGAAAGGAGAATTAATTATTGTTCGCAGTGAGTTATCAATTCCACGGTTCGCGCAATCTTCTACCCACCCGCCCGCAATTTGGTTTGACAAACGCACGCGGGGGCGAGTGCGATGATTTCTCGGCGTTGCCTGGTTCATCTGCGGCCGCGCCGACCAAAGAACGCACGCGCAGCGGCCATCGCGTTTGGCGCGACCGACGCAGCCGCGGCGGCGGTGACCGCTGGGCGCACCCCAGCGGGCAGTTCAGCGCGAGTCGGCGACTCGGGCGGGCGCGGTATCATGGCGTCGATAACAGTAGCGATGCGAGCGACGACGTTGACGACGACAACGGCGCGGCCAGTGCGGGCGCCGATGCTGTTCGCGCGGGCGACGATGGCAGCGCCCTCGCGCTGGCGATGGAGATTCTGTTGAGAATTCGACATGCGCGCGCGGTCGACGCGCGAGAGTGGCCCGCATAGCATCGTTCGACGCTGATCGTGCCCCTCCTCCCCCCCGCCCGCAGCGTTGCCAAGACTTCGCAAGAGCGCGCGCGCAAGTCTTTCCGAAAATCAGCGTTGCGAAACCCTTTGATTTTATGTGTTCTTTGGAAACTCGATTTTTCAATCCTTTCGAAAGGGGAAGGTTTGTGACGGATTCCGGCGTGCGCGCGCGACGACGCGCGCTTGTGGATTTTTTTTTTGTTTTGCAAAGGATTCTTGGGCACCGAGGTTTTTGATGATCGGGCGCGCGCCCATATAATCTTTAACAGGGGATGGGGGGGGATTCCGGCCCCCCTGGGATGATGTAGGTTCGTACGTAGGATGGACGATTGGGGAAGAATCGCATGTAAATTGCAAGGCGAAGAGGGGAACAGATAATCCCCAAGGGGGGGGGAGAGTCCGTTCTCTTTTTATATATATATATATATATATATATATATATATATGTGTTGCACAATCTAGGTGGTGCAATCGATCGACGCGGTGCATCCTATGTAGTGTATCCGATGTTGTGCGCTCTATGTTGCGCAAAAGACGCTGTGCAACATATGCGGTGCAATATCAGCGATCACAATCTATGTGGTGCGCAGTCTGTGTATTGCAATCGACGTGAGGCAATTTGTGTGGTGCGTTCTATGTAGCGCAACCGATTTGTCCGCCCTGTATTGTCAACGGTACCGTTCTCCCAATCGTTCCACCGACCCACGCGCAACTTCGTTTGCAAAACCCTATGCAGCGTCGGTTGCGATGACTGCTTGGCGCTGGTTGGCGCATCGCTGCAACCGCGCTTGCGCGCGCAGGCTCACTTGCGTAGAGGCCCTCCAGTTTGTGGCGACAAATGCGGTTGCGTTGGCGCTGACCGCCGGGGACTTCCCAGCGCGTCTCGCAAGCCGCGCTGGCTCGCGGCAGTTCAGGGCGAGTCGGTGACTCGGGCGGGCGCGGCATCACGGCGACGTCCACAATGGCAGTCATCATGATGATACTAGCGTTGCCGGTGACGATAATGACGATGACGACGGCACGGCCAATTACGGCGGCGATGCTTATCACGCCGATGACGATAAAAGGTGTCCACGTGTCGGTGGTCAAGGTTGTGGAAGGATTGCGACATGCGCGCGCGGCCGTGTACCCCCCCCCAGAATGCGCGCAAAGGCTCTCGAACGATTCCGAGACGCACGCGCAGCATGCTGTCGTGGCCGCACTGGATGAAATTTTGATAGACCGATGGTGTACGTGGGATTTTGTTGCAAGAACGCGTGCGCGCAGTTATCGGGGGAAAAACGTGTCGCAACAGGATTTTTACATTTTTCTTTGGCATTCGATGTTCAAGTCGTACGTATCCAAAGGGGGCTCGAAGGATTCTGGCATGCGCGTTCGACGACGCGCGCATGTGGATTGGGTTTATATTCGTGCGCGAGGGAATTTCAAACTTTGCGGATTTTCTGTAAACGAGTGTGCGCGCATAGTATCATTTGACAAGGACGAGGGATGGTGGTGCCAGTTTGGTAGGGGTGGTATACATCATTTCATCATAAGGATGAGCGATGGGGCAGAGTCGCGTGTAAATTGTATCATCCCAAGGGTGGACCGATAATCGGGGGGGAGGGGTAGATGTTATGATGTCCATAATGGTGGTGGTGATGATGTTCATGGTGGTGGTGGCGATGACCAGGCCGACGAGGATGATGTTTATGTTATTGCTGCAATTCATGATGGTTGTGAGGATTATGATAATGATGATCTTGATGCATGGAGTACCCGGGTGACAGGATGATGGTGAATCAATTCGGCATGTTGATGGTGACGATGATGGTGAGGATGGCGATTGTGATGGTTATTTGGGTGGTGGTGTTTTCGGTGACCATGATGGAAATGATGGCGATGGTAATGATCATCCTGACGATCATGACGATGTTGATGATGCAATTCTTATCTTGGTGTGGGTGATGCAGAGGATAAGCATGAGGAGAAGGATGGTGGTGCGGATGAATTTGAAGATAAGGACAGGAGCGAGGCTGATTATCTTGACGACAGACGTTGGTGATGATGATGGTGCAAGTGGTGATGACGACGATGATGATGCTGATGATGAGGATGCTGAGGATGGCGATCATCATGGTAAGGAACGCGATGATGATGATGATGTTGTTGATGGTGATGATGCTGAATCCGATGGTGCTGATGATGATGCTGATGCTCATGCTGATGGTGGTGGTGGTGATGATGATGATGATGAAGAAGAGGATGTTGATGCGCTGCTGATGATGATGACGAGGATGCCGATGAAAGGGACCATGGATATCATGATCATGATGATGCCGTTGATGATGATGATGATGATGATGATGATGATGATGCTGATGATGATGATGATGGCGGCGATGATGATGATGATGATGATGATGATGAACATGACGATGACGATAACGAAGACGATGATGATTATGATGGTGGTGATGATGATGATGATGCTGATGCTGATGAGTCTTATCATGAAGCTGATGATTATGCTGATGATGATGCTGATGATGCTGGTGTCGATGATGATGATGATGATGATGATGATGATGATGATGACGACGATGATGATGATGATGATGATGATGATGATTATGATGATGATGATGATGGTGATGGTGATGATGAAGGTGATGCTGATTCTGATGATGATGCTTAGTATGATGCTGCCGATGCTGCTGGTGATGATGATGATGCTGACGATGATGCTGATGCTGATGCTGCTGCTGACGATGATGATGATTCTGATGATGATGCTGATGATGATGATGATGATGATGATGATGATGATGATGATGGTGATGATGATACTCATGATGATCATGATGATAATGTTGGTGGTCATGATAGTGGTGGTGATGGTAAGGGAGAGGGGGAGGAGGAGGAGGAGGAGGAGGAGGAGGAGGAGGAGGAGGAGGAGGAGGAGGGAGGAGGAGGAGGAGGAGGAGGAGGAGGGAGGAGGTGGAGGGGGAGGAGGAGGAGGGAGGAGAAGGAGGGAGGATGAGGATTAGGAGGAGGAGGAGGAGAGAGGAGGAGGAGAGGAGGGGAGGCAGAGGATGAGGATGAGGTGGAAGGAGGAGGAGGAGGAGGAGGAGGAGGAGGAGGAGGAGGAGGGCGAAGAGGAGGAGAAGGGAGGAGAATGAGAGGGAGGGAAGAGGAGGAGGAGGAAGATGAGGAGGAGGAGGAGGAAAAAGAGGAGGAGGAGGATGATGATGAGGAGGAGGAGGATGAGGAGGGGGGAAGCGGAGGATGAGGATGATGTGGAGGAGGAGGAGGATGAGAAGAACGAAGAGGAGAAGGGAGGAGAATGAGGAGGAGGAGGGAAGAGGAGGAGGAGGAGGAGGAGGAGGAGGAGGAGGAGGAGGAAGATGAGGCGGAGGAGGAGGAGGAGAAGGAGGGAGGAGGAGGCACAGCCGACAGGTCGCGGCGGGGGCGTTCTCCGTTCGCGTGGTGCCAGTCGGCAGGGCGATGTACGCCGCACGGCAAGCGCTTCCAGACGGGGGCTTGGCAGACTCGGTGTTCGTGCCCGGGGACTGTCGCGCACATCCCCGAGGGAGCAGAAAGCAGCGCACACCCAGAGGTCGGGGGCGGCCAAGAGGGGGGTGATGACTGGTGTGTGTGTGTGTGTGTGGGCAAATCATGGCCGGGGTCTTGATATCTCCCCAGCTTCAGTGGCGCCTTCTCTTATCTCAATGCGTCCCTGGCCCCTCCTGGGCCGCGCAAATGCCGCCCGCCATGATTTGCGCCCCGCCCCCTCGATTCGCTTCGATCTCGCTGGGTCCCGATGCCGCTCCGATCCGACTTCGGACTCCCATTCGAATTTCTATTTCTCGGTTGAGGCCCTTCTAGCCTGCCGGTTTCCGCCGTGTCTATCCGAAGAAATGATGCATAAACATGCGTTCTAGGGGCTCCCTTCGGATGTCTTGGATCGGCGCTAGGGCGTCCCTCCGGCAGCACCTCGGGCGCCACCTCTGGCGCGCTCTGCGCGCCAGGGGTGTGGTCCAGCGCGGAAATGCCGTTTTTACATGTTCTAGCTACCTTTGTCTCGTTTCTACCTTTCCGAGCCTCCTTGGAGGCCCGCGTCACCCATTCTGGGTTCGCCTCGAAGTTCAGGTCTGGGGAGTAGCGGTATCGGTATCTTGTGGTTTCCCCATTCGCCTCTCCAAGTAGCGGCAGGTAGCGGAACAGGAGGAGGAGGAGAAGGAGGAGGAGGTGGAGGAGGGGAGAGCAGGAGGAGGAGGAGGAGGAGGTGGAGGGAGGAGAAGGGGGAAGGTTGCGTAGGATTTGCCTGGCGGTTGAGCAGGAACAGGAGGAGGAGAAGGAGGAGAAGAGGAAAACGAGGAGAGGAAAGAGCAAAGGAGGAGGGAGGGGGGGGGCGAGGGGGTGGGGAAGCGGGGGCGGGGGAGGGGCAGGAAAGTCAGGGGCTATGTCGGACCGGGTGGTGTGGGGGTGAGGGGGAGCTATTCGGGGCGGTGGGGGAGCGAGCTGGAATCTGGAAGGGAAGAGGAGGCGCGGCGCAAAGTGGTGAGTGGGAGTGTGTGTAAGTGTGTAGGAGGGGCTGCAAGCGTTCTGCTCCCGTCATCCCTCCGGGCGGGGGACCTTCCTCGCCGGACTCGTGCTGA